GTTGTATTAAATGTTCCAATTATGTTAAATTGTATCATTTAGTTGTTTTTGCATTGTAGCTAGATTTCAAGTTGATTAACTTTGATATTCTTTATCTTGTTGTGTTATATCGTATGCTCCTATGTTGTTTAATTGCATAAATATTATGGTTTATTCTAATGTAGCTTAGGAATGATCCTATAGATTCATTTCAGACATAGACGTTAGGTGGCATGAATCACATAGATTGATTTATATCAATTTGATAAACTTGTAAAACTTTAGGTTATATGTTTGATCATTCCCTATGAGTAATGTAAGTTACTCACCCTGTTGAATGCGATTTGTTTCAGGTAAGGAGACGCAGTTTTATGATGCACAACATCCTTAGGTTGTCTTGTTAATTTGGAGTACTTTTAATGTATTTTTGTTCATATGCAAGTGTTAGCATGTTTAAGTTTTACTTATAATGTTGTAATACTTAGCGAGGTTCAATATGCTGTTTATGCCTTGTGATATGTGTACTTAGACACACACTTTAGGACATATTTAACAAATATGTAATGAGTCCAAGGGCCATTTACTTTTAAGCTGCTCATTTTAAGTATTTTTGGTTTCATGTGTAATCATTTTTATTGTGGGATGTGTAAAGTGTGCATAAGCACACTTTTAGGTCTCTTTATATATGTTTGAGGTGTGGCCAATGGCCAAACGCCTTTTCGTTTTCATCTATGCATGTTGGTTTCAAGTTTTTCTTTATAAGGCAAAATTTAGGTTTGATAGGTCGTATTTTGCATTGGGCATATTTGGGGGCCGTAGACCATTCCCACGCACTTCAAAACACTTATTACATTTGCATGCACAATCGTTTTAGCACACAATTTCATATTCAACCATTTGAACACTTGAAGTAAACTCCATTTTTAAGGTTTTATATAAAAACTGAACAGAGGGGTATTTTGAAAATTTTACATTAAAAATAAAATTTCCTTTTGACATGGTTAGCTAAAAAACATGGTTTTAAGAGGGGGTTTCTTTTTTGGAGTTTTTCTAAATTAATTGTTTAAGGGTCCATATTAGCTCTCAGTTCTGGATTTCTGCTGCTGTCAGCCAATGCCTTGGCTGCATGCACAACACACACACGATGCGCAGGGGCGCGTGTGCGCTCGGCGCGCAAGGGCATGCGCGCACATGGGGGGGCTCCCTTGGTGCCCTCTTGGCCGCGTCAACATCGATTTTTGTTTTGTCTTTTCTTCTTCATCCGGACTCCGAATCAAGTGATTTTTGAGCCTCACTTTATTAATTCTTTGTTGTCTATCAATGGTGTGCTCGGTAGCACCCATATCTTTTTAGAAATGACCATTTTGCCCCTAGGGCTAAACTTGTCCGTTTTTAAAACGTCGCTTCCGCTTTGTTTTCTTTTGGGTCACGTGGCTTCATGGGAAGTCATGCTTGTGTCTTAGGGATGACGTACATCTCTTGAGACGTTGTTTCCGTGTGAAAAGACCATTTTGCCCTTAAGGGCCATACTTGGTTTATTTTCAACCCTAGCTTCCGTTTTCATTCTCGTTGAGTTTCGTGACCTCATGGAAGGTAGCTTTGGCATTTTAGAGGTGTGTTGCATCTCTAGAGACTTGATTTATATTTCCGCTTGCACATTCAGGATTCGTTATCGGGTTAAACTTCAGGTCATTACAGGACGCATTAGCTTGAAAAACCAGGGCCGTCACAACTATCATAGCAATGTCACCAATCATCACTTTATCATCCATCAACCAACCTATAAAAATAATAAAAACATTTCATGAATTTATATTCCATTTTAATGAAATCCTAATTATTGTAAGATTTAGTCTTATGCCATGGAACTTGATTCACAAAAATTGGTAAGAGAGTTCTTCAATCTTATGTGCTTTGTGTGGATGGATAATCCATATAAACCACTTGATATTGATTGGATGATGATGCCTAATAAAACATTTAAAATATAAGTGTCAGTGCAAACACAAGCATTTATATCAAGAAAATGCATTTATACATGTGAATGACTTAAGATACAACCAACGGGCCAGTGTCATAGCGGTATCAGTCTCTTACCTCCCAAAAGGAGGTCAGGGGTTTAAGTCTCAGAAGAAACATGTGTGTGTGAGTACCAACTAGGAAAAAAAAGAATGACCTAAGACACCTCCTACACCAACACCATGACCTTTATTAGCACCCCTAACTCCAGCCCCTACAACACTTGCAGCCCTAGCAACAACAACAATAACACCACCACCAAATGCTCTACCACCCCTACCAACAATAACACTACTTCCACCACCTCTTTCACCCATACCAACAACAACATTACCACCTGCATCTCTTCCACTGCGATACCAAGTTCACACCCAAAATAAAAAAATATCAAACAATTAATAATAAATAAGTACAAAATACAAAAGAAATATTAATAAAATAAATAAATATTGCTGAAATAAAAAAACTAAAATAATAATTAAGGTGTGAAAATTCCTTGATACCGTAATCTTCAATAAAATCTCTATCATAATAATAAATTTTCAGCTTACAATTCAAAAATTCAAATATCATGGACCCCTCGTAAAACTAATCCCGTAAACAGATAAAAGGCTTTGACAGTTTCTAAAATGCTTTCGATGACCTATGTTATGGACAAATGTATGCGATACTCATTACTGGTAGTATTTTACTAACCATCATCACCCTTTGTATAATGTTAACAATTTTTGACCATCAAATCTTCAACGGCATATACTGCCAGTCACTTTATCTATTTAAGGTATATACATACGTGGCAAACATGTGGTCCTTTTTACTTTTTGCAGGACTAGAAAATAATAGTAATATATCTGACGAGGATTTATTGTACATCAATAGTACATAATAATATGACGATGATTAATTGTACATATTTAGTCACATATCTATTTCACAATTTTGAATGTACCTAGATCTTAAAATTCTTCACCCACACACAAAATTTATGGCTTATAATTTTCCATGAAGTATGGGGACATCATTGTTAATTTGGTTATTAAAACCTTTACAAAGTTTTAGTTTGAGAAATATTCATAAATATATATATATACATATATATATATATATATATATATATATATATATATAAAATAATGGTAATATATCTGATGAGGATTTATTGCACATCAATAGTACATAATAATATGACGATGATTAATTGTACATATTTAGTCACATATCTATTTCACAATTTTGAATGTACTGGCCTAGATCTTAAAATTCTTCACCCACACACAAAATTTATGGCTTATAATTTTCCATGAAGGATGGGGACATCATTGTTAATTTGGTTATTAAAACCTTTACAAATTTTTAGTTTGAGAAATATTCATATATATATATATATATATATATATATATATATATATATATATATAAATGGTCCTAAGAAAATATGTGAGACAAGTTTCATACTACAAAAGGCTTGGCTTACACCACGTAATGCGGTAGGCTAAGGACTACCTGTATCCACAGCATCCAATTCTTCCACTGTGATTACTCCTAATTTCAGAGACATGAGTTAATCAAGTTCACGATCAAAATGAAAAAATATCAAACAATTAATAATAAATAAGCACATATAAAATACAAGAAGAATAATAATAAAATAAATAAATATCGCTGAAATGAAAAACTAAATAATAATTAAGTTGTGAAAATCCTCTGATACTATAATATTCAATAAAATCCCACCACAAATCAGGAATTCAAATATCATGGATCCCTAAATAAACTAATCTCATAAACTATTTTGACAGTCTCTAAAATGCTTTCGATGACCTATGTTATAGACAAATGTATGCGATACTATTACTAATATAGTATTTTACTAACCATCATCACCCTTTGTACTTCCTTCGTCCCAATTTAAATGTCGTCATTGAAATTTGTGACTCATAGTTTTTAATAACGACACTTAAATTAGGACAGAGGGAGTATAATGTTAAAAAATTTTGACAATCAAATCATCAACCGCATATACTGCCAATCACTTTATCTATTTAAGGTATATACATACGTGGCAAACATGTGGTCCTTTTTACTTTTTGTAGGGTTAGAAAATAATAGTAATATATCTGACGAGGATTAATTGTACATCAATAGTACATAATAATATGGTGATGATTAATTGTACATATTTAGTCATATATCTATTTCACAATTTTGAACGTTGGCCTAGATCTTATAATACACCAACACACAAAATTTTTGGCTTATAATTTTCCATGAAGGATGGGGACATCATTGTTAATTTGATTATTAAAACCTTTACAAAGTTTTAGTTTGAGATATATTCATATATATATATATATATATAAATGGTCCTAAGAAAATATGTGAGAAGTTTGAGACTACAAAAGGCTTGGCTTACACCACGTAATGTGGTAGGCTAAGGACAACCTGTCTCCACAGCATCCAATTCTTGAATTGAGGTACAAAAGCGGCCACCACTTCTTTTGTTCCTCCTCCACTTGCCCACCTCAATAATATTTAATAACAACACCCTCCATTTTCCACACCATTTATAGTTTATACTTTCACTACATCTCATACAGTATAAAGTACCAAAATACCCACACACACACACACACACACATATATATATATATATATATATATATATTTTATACACATATATTAATAGGTCTATCCACAACTCCAAATTAAGAGGGGTGCCTTTGGTTAATTAAAAATTGATACTCCGTACTAAATATTAATCACTTTCCAAACTCCCTCCACATGTACGCTGAAGACCGTATATATTATATATTTTTTCCTACTATACATACATACATACATATATATATATATATATTATAGCTTTTCAACATAGACGATTATTAAATTGCAGTTCATATTCTTTAATTCCCTTCTGGTTGATAATGAAAGATGCCTCTCCATTGTTAATCAAATCCCAGTTTTCCATGCATGGGTACGAGTAAGCTTTGCATTGTGATGCTAAACCAGTGTCAGACCCTATATAATTCAATGAATGGTATTATTGTAATTAAAGTGATATCAAAGGGTCATAATATGAAATTAATAACTACCATATGTATCCACATTACATATAGAATTTAGGTAAGGTTCCATGAGAGCCTTTCATTGGCTGAAAGTCCCAAAAAAACACCAACACCATCTTCCACCACTACCACCCAAAAAATAGCATCAATTCATATGAATGGGAAATGAAAACAATCTCAACACAGTTCCATCAGCAAAGCCAAGAAGAGCCAAAAACAGAAACAGAACAAGAAGAAAAAGAAGAAGGAAATAGAAGCAAGTGTGATTGGGATTTCACTCTCTCCACAATCGTCTCGTCGAACGCTGCTGCCGGACCCACCACTGATACGCTTGGCGTCGTAGAATTTGACCCGTCGGATAGCGTGGTGGCGACCGGCGGAATTGCTCGAAAAATTAGGGTTTACAGGTTGAAGTCATTGTTACCCCATGAGAATAGTGAAGGCATTGCTTTGTTGGATCATAGTAGTGCATGTGAGTATTACATGTGCACCCCAGCGAAGCTTAGCAGCCTCCGGTGGAGGCCCGGATCGGGCGGTCGGGTTCTAGGATCCGGAGACTATGACGGGGTTGTTATGGAGTATGATCTTGAGCGAAGAGTCCCCATTTACGAGCGTGACGAGCACGGCGGGCGACGGGTTTGGAGCATGGGCTATTCGCATTGGGAACCCGCTGTAGGGGCATCCGGGTCGGATGATGGAACCATGCAAATGTGGGACCCGCGCTGCGAGGGTGGGAAGTGTGTGGCTATGGTGCAGCCCAGCATGCAAAGAAGCCCGGTGTGTTGCGTCGAATTCAATCCATTCGGTGGCTCGTTGCTAGCCATCGGATGTGCTGACCGGAGGGCATACGGGTATGACGTGAGGAAGATGGGTGACCCGGTATTAGTGTTTGAAGGGCATCAGAAAACCGTGACGTACGTCCGGTTTCTCGATCATCACACGGTGGTTACATCCGGGACTGATGAGCGTTTGATGCTGTGGCAAACAGAGGATCAGAGCCTGATTCGCACGTACAAAGGGCACGTGAATGCAAGGAGGTTTGTGGGGTTATCAGTGTGGAGGAATAGTGGCCTAATTTGTTGTGGGTCAGAAAGTAACCAAGTTTTTGTGTATGACAAGAGGTGGGGTGAGCCCATATGGGTGCATGGGTTCGAGCCAGTGGTTCGAGCCGGGTGTGACCGCGGGTTCGTGAGTAGCGTGTGCTGGAGGCAAGTGGGTGAGGATGGGTGCACCCTTGTGGCGGGAGGATCGGATGGGGTTTTGCAGGTTTTTGTGGGCAAAAGAAAAGCAATTATAAGGTGACTTTTTCAATTTTATTAACCAAAAATTGATGATATATGAGAATATTTTTACTCATAGTTATACACAAAAGAAAAGAAAAAAGTAAAAGAAAATGTTCAACCAAAGGAGAAATATATTGTGAGAAAAATAGAGGCTATTTTGCTTAGTATGTATTGATTTTGCTGACAAATTGTTAATATTCCATGAACGCCATTGCGTTTGTTATAAGATCACATGTTTTCTTTGTTATATAAGACGCTTATAGGTAATTTATTGTCCATCCCTGGTAATTAAACCTTATAGACTTTGGTTTCTGAAAATCATGTAGTATTATATTTTCATCGAGATCAGAAGAAATGGTGGAAAGTTATCCAGAAAAAAAAAAAAGAAAAAAAAAGAAAGGAATTTGTGGATAAGGTATCTATTTTCCCTGGATTTCCGGGCCCATGATGGGCTCATTAATTAATAAATATTTTTATACATATAGTATATACTCCTAAAATTATATTATTTCTATCCATTCATTTTTTTCCCTTTTTTACTCTTCTCATTTTGTTTTTATTTTTTATTATTCTCTTAAAAAATATTTAGATCCCCTTTGCTTTCCTTCTCAAATCTTTCAGTGTGTATGTTTTATTCGGTAACAGGATAGAGTTTTGTTTCACTAATCATTGGGACACCGTACAAATTAAGCATCCCCACGTGGGTTGGGTAAAGTTCGAATTTTTCACCTATGGACATGGCACAAAGTAATTATTTATCAAGGGCAATTGAACCTTAAACCTGATATTTTATGAGGTGCCATACTCAAATAATTTACCACCGGAGCCAACCTCGTTGGGTTAACACTTGTGTATGTTGTATGTGCACTAACCTTCTTTTTTTTTTTTTTTTTTTCACTTTTTTATTCTATTATTTTTAATTTTATTACTGAAATTTTATTCATTTAGTACTTGGACATTTTTCAATGGTTGGTAGAGTGCCCAACTCCCAAAGTTAGTTTGCCAAGATTATATATATATGTATGTATATGTATATGTATATGTATGAGGAGGCCCAGGACGACATGGGCCGGATCTGACTTGCAAGCACTACATCCGGTCCGTACAGCTGGGTCAGCCCATATAAAGACACTGCCATATGGGCCGAACGCGAGTAAGCCCATCAAAGGTGACCAGGACTTATGGAGGAACAGGCCCAGATCCAGCAATCAGTCAATATTTGTAAATATCTTGTAAATATCTTGAAAATATCTATAAATAAGGGAAGGAATGGAAAAGATAGGGAGGATCTTTTTGGTTGAAGTGTAAGAATTCTAGAGAGAGAAAGAGGGAATGAATTTCTTGCATCTTCAATTGGCGCCGTCTGTGGGAAACGTATGGAAGTTTGGTTGATCAATGAGGAATATCGAGTGGATTCAGACCAATTCGGTTGATCGAGACTCGATCTTTGGGATTTGGATCCAGATCTGAGCGATTGTGACCTACTCTGGAGGAATTACAATTCTTGAAGCTTTGGCAGAAGTGGCTTCAGATCTACGCAACAACGAGTTGTTCGATTGTGGCGGGATCTGACGGATTTAGAGTTCAGATAATTCAGATCGCGTAAACGGTGAGCGTAATTCGGAGAATTCGAAACCAGATCTGAAAAATTCCCACTCACGAAGCTCAGATCTACTCGCGAACTTGAGATTAATGCCTTTACTCCGTTCAGGAATAATGATAGGTGAAAGCTCCAATCCGATGGAGGCTGTCCAGCAAACAAAGCTTGAGGAGTTGATGAACTTGATTGAGGCTCTCAAAAAAGAGAATGCAGAATTGAAAGCTGGAATGCAACATCGGCAAATACCTGCGGTTTCGCATCCACTTCCGGTCGGTGAAGGAGGTGTTCAATCTAATATCGCGCGTCAAGGCGAACAGGATGAGAACAATCAGTCAGCTCACCACCGTGATGAAAGGATGATGGACAATTTGCCGCCAAATGTTCGTCGAGTTGAAGATCACGAAGGATCGACTCACGTTGATCCGCATCGGGAAAGGTTCGACCGAGAGGAAGTGATAGAGGTTGATCGCCGTCGAGTAGCGTCGCCTTGGCAAAGAGAGTTCATAGAGGAACGGTCGTTTGATCCGTCTTACCGGCCCTCCATGGCTACTATCACTCATCGCGGTTCGGAGGGCAGAACCGTAACTCACACAGCTACCGCTGGACTCCAGAGAGAGAATGAAGCTCTCCGATCCGCAGCTCGGACGGTTGATTCACCATTCACCGACGAGATCTTGAATGCCCCGCATCCAAGGAAGTTTGCTATGCCAGTCTTTATTCTGTTTGACGGAACAACCGATCCGATCAATCATGTGTACCATATCCAGTTGAAAATGGCCCTGAATACGGAAAACGACTCTTTAATGTGCAAATGTTTCCCTACAAGCCTGGCCGGACCGGCGCTCAGCTGGTTCAAAAACTTGCCTAGGAGCTCCATTGGTAGCTTCAGAAACCTGTGCGATCGGTTCATAAGCCAGTACTATGGGAACAAGCGCCCGCCGAAGGACATCTCGAGTCTATTCACGATGAGGCAGCACAAAGATGAACGTCTCCAGGCTTTTCTTACCAGGTTTAATCTCATTAAGAGTATGGTGATCAAATGCCACCCTTCTACAGCAGTTCAAGCCTTCAAGTTAGCCATGACACGTGCAACTCCGTTTCACACCAGTCTGGTAGTGAACACGCCGACTACTATGGATGAACTCAATGAAAGAGCCGATGGCTTTGTGCGCCTAGAAGAAGAGAAGGCAGCTAATGCTCGGACAGCGTCGCTCGTGTCGACCGAGGAAAAGTCCAAGGCAAAGATCAGGCAGAAGCAGCCTCAGCCGCAACGTCAGACCCCTTGGAAGGCAGAAAAAAGGTCCAGGGAGGAAGAGCTGATTACTCCGCTGAAGGTCGCTCTGGCGAGGCTGTATCAGGAGAACAAAGATAAGTTTCATCCACCACTGCCAATTAGGCAACCCCTCGAACAGAGGGATCAAACTAAACATTGTGCTTTCCATTCCGATTTCGGTCATCAAACTAATGAATGCAGGAACCTGAGGAGGCAGGTGGAGATGTTGATAGCTAGAGGGGAGTTCGCGAGTTATGTTCAAGGCTCGGCGATAGAGCAGAATCGATCGATGGAACAAATAAAAAGGAGTCATAAACAAAGCTCCCACAATTCACAACCAGTTCGTATAATCAATGCTATCCATGGTCGGCCCGAGCCTAGTGAAGAGTCAGATGAGTTACTCCGGGCGCGCCTGCGGCAGGCGCAGATGAAGAAAAGGGTCAGCAGTGTGAATACTCTACACCAGCAGAGCCCGTCGATGTAGATAAAGTTCGACTGGACAGACCTGCAGCGTGTTCAACTGCCCCATGAAGACCCGTTGGTAGTTAGTTTAACAGTGGCGGACTGCTTGGTGCGCAGAGTTCTGATCGATCCTGGGAGCAGTGCGAATGTCATGCCGAGGGACACATTCGATAGGCTCGAGATTAAACCAGAAAGGCTCAAGCCCACTGGAAATCCCTTGTTAGGGTTCGATGGGAAGAGGGTGGAGCCCGTCGGGATGGTGGAAGTGGAAGTTCAAGCTGCAGAACGAGCTCTTATGGAAACTTTTGTGGTTGTAGAAATTCACCCCTCGTATAATCTCCTGATGGGAAGAGGATGGATTCACAGAGTCCAAGGTGTACCCTCAACTCTGCATCAGGTCATGAGGTGCCTCGGACCCGATGGAGATAAAGTGATAGACATTCGGGGGGATCAGGTCGCAGCCAAAGAGTGTTATTCCGTCACACTAAAGCATGCTGGGAAAGGGAAGGCGCCCGTCCGTTCGGCAAGCCCCAGATAGCAATTACAGGAACCTCCGCCCAAGCAGAACAGGGTGGAAGAGTCAGTCGACTTGACCGAGGAGCCCCTTCTGGATGTGCAGATCGATCAGTCCAGGCCAGAACGAACTACCAGAGTAGGTATAAGACTGACCAGAGAAGAGCAGCAAGAGCTAGTGGATTTCTTGTCCCACAATGCCGACGTATTTGCATGGAGTCACCTAGACATGCCTGGAATTAGTCCTTCCGTATCCTGTCACTCCCTGAATGTCAATCCCAATTTCAAACCAGTGAAACAGAAGCAGCGAAGATTTGCTCCAGAACGTAATCAAATCATAGCGGAAGAGGTCGATAGGCTGCTTGATGCGGGATTTATCAGAGAAATGCACTACCCTGATTGGTTGTCCAACGTCGTTGTCGTGCAGAAGAAGAATGGGAAATGGCAGGTATGCATTGATTTCACCAATTTGAACAAAGCCTGTCCGAAGGACAGCTTCCCGCTGCCTAAGATTGATCAAATGGTGGATGCCACCACCGGGTATGAGCGTTTAACCTTTCTGGACGCTTATTCAGGTTATAATCAGATCCCTATGGACCCCGCAAATGAAGAAAAAACTTCTTTTGTCACCGAGCGAGGAACATACTGCTACAAAGTTATGCCTTTCGGACTAAAGAATGCGGGAGCAACTTATCAAAGACTTGTTAGCAAAATTTTTAAGAATCAAATGGGTAAGATTGTGGAAGCCTATATTGATGATATGGTGGTAAAGAGTAGGAAGAAGGATGATCATCTGAAGCATCTGCAAGATGTATTCGATGTACTGAAGCGATATGGGATGAGGCTCAATCCAACCAAGTGCTCGTTCGGTGTGAGTTCCGGACAGTTTCTGGGACACGTGGTCAATCGCAGAGGCATCGAAGTTAGCCCCGCTCAAGCAGAGGCTTTGATTAAGAATGCCGAGCCAAAGACGATCAGAGAGGTGCAAGCCCTCACAGGACGAATAGCTGCATTAAGTCGATTTATTTCAAAATTGTCAGATCACTGCAAACCGTTCTTTGACACGATTCGGAGCCATGGAAGGCAGGTCTGGGGGGATGAGCAACGACAAGCATTGACTCATTTAAAGGAATATATGCAGAATCCACCAGTCCTGTCAGCCCCAGATCCAGAAGAAAAGTTATTTCTATATCTTGGAGTATCTGGTGTCGCGACGAGTGCCGTTCTGATTCGTTGCAAGGAAGGGGTGCAATACCCGGTATTTTATGTAAGCAAAACACTGACAGAGGCAGAAAAAAGATACTCAAAGGCCGAACGGGTGGTACTTTCACTTGTAAATGCAAAAAGAAAGTTGAGGCATTATTTCGAATCCCACCCCATAGCTGTTCTAACAACTTTCCTAAT